CAGTGAAGGCGATAATAGCACTTTCTGTGTGTGCTGAGAGCATGTGCCAACTCACAGAGCCCTAATAATAGCTGCTCCGCTCCGTAGACGGGAGACTGAGGTGCTGCCACCCGAGATCGCGGGCTGCGACCATGATCCCCGTCGGCCCACCTCCAGCGTTTGCTCCTCACACCACTCTGCAGCCATTAAGTAAACGCAGAAATTATAGAGCAATTCTAAACATGAAAATCTGTTCTCCCATCTCTGCTGTGTTTCTGTTGCCGTGAGGAGGAGGGGGCATTGCTCTAGATTCTCCATGGCATCCTGTTAGGTGGGTTCCTCCATCCCAGGCTCAGAAATGAACAACTCATCCAGGGTCGCAGCTAACCAGTGACCGGCGAGGATGGCACCCGGGCCTCGGTGGCCGTGTTGGGCTCTTCCCAGTCAGTCCACCATTCTGCAGCGCCGTCTCGTTCCACAGTACTGGCTCCTTTCTCTATCAGCCCCTCCACCGGGGCTCAGATGTACAAACCCCGTGGTTCCCCCTTTAGGCTCTTCCCTCCCCCAGAGAATGTGGAAATGGGATCGCCTGGCGCCAGTGCCCTCCGTACGTTAGCTTCCAGGAGTGATGGTGTGTGACTGGGAGGTGGGATCCATGGGGCCAGGTGGGTGAGGGAGCTCCCAATGACATCATCGAGGCCGAGAGCACAGACAGTGGGCCATTGTTGGCTGGTCCCTGGATATTCACACCTGGCCGGCCCTTCACCAGTCTTTGCATTCAGCCCTTGCCAGCTTCCTGCAGAAGAAGGGCTGACTTTGGGCCTGCTGGCTGCTGAGCTGGAGAAGGGACGCACAGGCAGGCTTTGGGCCTCCAGGCTCCCACTTCTGGCCGGGACCAGTCCCATCCAGCCAGAGCCGGAGACAAGCTGGGGACGCGGAGGGGACGCTGGCAGTGCAGACCTCCCTGCCAGAGCAGCCTGTTTGCCAACCTTAGGCCTCAGAACTCTCCAGAAACCCTTGGCCTTGGATAACTCCCCGGGCCCAGCCTCTTGAGGAGGGCATACCTCCCGGCCTCCTGGCTGACCAGGACCTGGCTGACCGGCCAGCCGGGACAGCGCGGTGCTGCAGTGCGCAGCCCCTGCCAAGGCCGGACCCGGACTTCCTGTGCCCACATGTGCTGGCTCCCTGGTGCTTGTGAAAACGATCGTGTGTGACCCCGGCGGCAGCTCTGAGGTTCGGGTGGCTGTCTTCATTCTCTAGGAGTCGGGGCTCACAGGTCACTGCTCAAGGTCACACAGCTTGTCACACAACACACACAACACACACACCCCACAAGGTGCTGCCGCAGCCCAGGCTCCCTGTGCCTGGGAATTGACCCTGGGTTTGTCCGGGAACTCCTGGAATCTTGTAGCTTCAGTAGAATTTGCGTCGCCACCCCCAGGCGGATTAATCTTTAGCTCGGGCACATTCCCCACAGATCTCCTTCTTCCTGCAAGTACCTGGGGCCTGGGAGCTCCACGCGGGGCCCCAGCAGCCGGGCGGCCTGGCTGGAGGGTGACTTAGCTCTCGGGAAGCCCTCGAATTGGCCCAGTCCACCTGGAAACCCTGCGAGGACGTTTTTATTGTGGACGAGTTCTTCCTTTCTCTCTGACTTTATCTGAGAACCACAAAAGAAAGAAACGGGCTTAGAAGGGTTTCAGGTGCGTGCGCGGTGGCTCAGGCTGGGCTGAGGGGTGGCCTCCCAGCACCTTCCTGCCGCTGACCCCTGCCTGGGTTTGGGCATCGGAGCAGGTGGTCCCCAGCCCCAGCAGCACCCCGAGGGCCCAGTGCTGCCCCCAGGCCCTTCCCCAGAGGCCCACCAACGGGAGCTGGGCCAGAACCCAGGCCCTCGGGGAGGACTCCAGGTGACAGGGATGCTTTTGCCCAGGACAGATGCCCAAGCGCTACCGCCCTGGACTGATCGGGGTGCAGTTAGTTAACTTTCTTATAGCTGTCCTGGCATTATTTGAACGGAGGGGAAAACTACCAGAAATGGTTTTGAAGTTAAAATTTCCCCTTGCCTCAGGCAAACAATTATGGGTTGAATGAGAAGGGTGAGTGTAGGGAGCAGCTAACTTTAAAGGAAAATCCTGGCATGGAGAGAGAGGGGGGTGGGGGGGAGAGAAGCGAGGGGTGGGTGAGGGGCCTGGCGTTGGCAGGGGAGACTGGCTTTATGTCTCGGAGGCTGGGATATAGAGTTCCAGGGTAGCCCCTGCCCCTGGAGCCTCATCTGCCCACGTGTCAGATGGAGACCACGAATCCTTGACCTCTGCTCTTACCCCTCCCAGCGCTCGCTCTCCGGGCTGTGGTGAGAGACGTGGGGAGTTTGTGGGACAGACACGTACAGGAGGCTTTGTCAGGTGTGTGGGGCCGCCTCTGCTCAGTCACAGGGTGAAATACACCTGAGGAGGCGGCGGTCTTGTCGGGAGGGAGGGACCCCTGTGGGGCCTCTGTCCTCTCCGTTGCCCCACCTGTGGCTGAGACTGGGCCGCTCTGGTGGGGGCCTCAGGTGAGCTGCCCGGAGCTGGTTCGCTGCTGTGGGATGGCAGGTACCTCTCGGCCCCCACCTGCATGCCGGGCGTTGGGTGTCTCCGGGCAGAGCGCCCGGAGAAACTCAGCCTCTGGGTCTTGGTATCCAGTGAGGTCAGCAGGAGTTGTCCTGAGGCCAAGCCGGTCACCTGAGCACAGACCCTGGTCTCACTTGGCGCCTGCCTGCCTGCCTGCCTTCTGGAGCAGGATGGACAGGCGGCAGTGCCCTCAGGACCCTGCTGGCACCTTGCTGTGGGGAGAGTGGGTGTTGGCGACTCACAGTCCAGGCCCAGCCCTGCCACCAACTCCCACGAGGCTCCAGGCAAGTCACCGCCTACACAGAGGGGAGAGAAGACCCGACTCCCAGGGCTGTGAGTGGCCGAGTGCTCTTGTGAGCCGCAAAGCTGGGGTTCCTAGCAGGGCCAGCTCCCCTGCCGGGGGTCGGAAGGTGGAAGCTCGCAGGCACGTTGCCCCTCGGAGCCCCGGCTCTCCTCGGAGGGCTCTCTCCTCCTGCTGTCCCTCCGGCATCCACGCACTGACTGGGGCGTTTCCTGCCGGGGCAGGAAGTGGGCACACGCAGTTGCAGCAGCAGGGCTTCATAGTTCGTAGTCTGCCCTGTGACGTGCTCTCCTCGTGGTCACCGTGAGGTTTGGAAGCCCATGAACGTGGGTTGCAGCAGCGATAAAGGGAACCAGGCATGTGGCTGAGGCAGGTGGGGACCTCAGGCAGGCTGAGGACTTCCGGCAGGTGACTGACTCTCTGAGCCTTGATGTCCTCATTAGTGAAACGGAGATAAGGATCCTGAGGAGGTGTCACGAAGCCCAGACGGGATAATATGTCAGCTCTGGGCACGGACTCAGTCAATGTGAGTTCCTCCTGGGACGCAGCGCCGGGCTGGCAGGTGGAGCTGGCGCAGGACAGGGCCTGGGAGAGCTGGCAGCCACGTGGGCGTGGATGAGTGACGTCTGGGTGGGAAGGGCTGTGGGAACCCCGGCGGTGATTTTAATTACACGGCCCCTCGGCCTCCAGCCGGGGCCTGGCTGTCTGATGCCGCCTTTATTGGCCCATCTGGTGCTCAGCCGGAGCCGTGGCATCGGCAGGAGCCAGGCTCATTAATTAGCATCTCTCAGCCCAGGATGTGTTGGTGGGGGGTAGACTCCCCCAGGAGCCCGGCCACCACTGGTTGCACACATCTGGGCGGGCACAGCCAAGCCTCTCACTGACCTCCTTCCTCAGATGGCCCTGATCCTTATCTTGTCTGAGCGCCAGGAGGCTTTCCACAGCCCTTCGCAGATCTGGGGCTGCAGGGAGCACCTTTACGGGGGCCCCGCCAGCCCGAGCCGAGGAGCCCCCTTAAGAACCATGGAAACAGGTTGACAGCTTGGACGGGAGCAGGTGGAGGCAGTGCCACCTGGAGGTACTTACCGCCTCAGAGACAAAGCGGCCCCAGGACATGGTCTGCAGAGAGCTGTCCCTCAGACCAGAGTGAACTGCATCAAACCAGACCTCTCCTCCTAGAAGATGACTTCAACAAAAGGTTCAGGCAGCCGAAACTGGTTTGGCTCAGTCGGTCTGCGGACTGAAGGGTCCCAGGTTCGATTCCGGTCAAGGGCATGTACCTGGGTTGCGGGCACATCCCCAGTAGGGGGTGTGCAAGAGGCAGCTGGTTGATGTTTCTCTCTCATCGACGTTTCTAGCTCTCTATCTCTCTCCCTTCCTCTCTGTAAAAAATCAATAAAATATATATATATTTTTTAAAAAAAGGTTCAGGCAAATCGTGCGGGCACCATTGTGCCGGGCAGCATGCTGGGCGCTGGGGACCAGCCCAGAGCTCCGGATGGGGAGACCTGGTGGTCTTGCTCCTGCATGGCTGAGGCAGGGCCCAGGAGACCGTGCCTCCCAGGCTGGCATCCCATCCTGTGGCCGGGTTTATTCGCTCCTGTAAGGTTCACTGCCACTCCCAACTTACAGAGAGAACCGAGGTCCCAGAGGTCACGGGAAGCGCCCAGAGTCTCGGAGGGTGTCGTGCTGCACGCACGCCCTGTGCTGGGCGGCGTGCTGTGCCAGCTCAGGGTCCTTGTTCTCGGTGGCCATTCGTTGGGGCTGGGCGCCATCACCGCGAAGCCTTCTCCCACGTCGTTTGGCCTCCTGTGCAGCCTCTGTGACAAGCTGCCCGGGGGCCTTGATCCGTGGCCAGCCTGGCTGTGGCCCTCCTCCACGGGTGGCTGTCCCTGGGGGGTTGACCCCTCGCTGGGCTCTTGTGAGGGGCAGTGTGAGAGGCCCCGAGACGAATCACCTGGCAGGCGCTCTCGTGCTTGGAGCCTCGGGGTTCCCGCTGTCATTAGGAGGGCCGCCTGGGCTTCATAATCAGTGACGTGTCCCTGCCGTCCGATGACCAGAGCCGAGCCCCAGGGAGCCAGCCTCACTCACTCCTGTGTCTCCGTCCTTTCCAGGGCAGCGAGGCGCCAGGCCCCACCTTCACCGATGGCGAGGTCCTGCCCAGGGAGCCCGGCTTCTTTCCTGAGGAGGAGGAGGAGGCGATGATGCTGGCCCCGCCCGAGGGCCCCCCCCGAGTCAGACAGGGACAGCCCCATGGAGAGCACCCAGAGCCTGGAGGGGTCCGTGGGGAGCCCTGCCGAGGAGAAGGACGGGGGCCTCGGGGGCCTGCTCCTGCCCGAGGACAAGTGAGTGAAAGCTGCCGGCACCCCCACGCATGTGCCCGGGCCCCGAGGTGGCTCCCAGGGGGACCTCCCGGAAGACAACCCGGGGTTCACATCACAGGCATATGGCTCATGGGTGTTTTAAGTAACAGTAGGGCCAGTTCTAGAATTTTAGGCAACCGTGTAAAGCTTCACTGTTTAATGATAAGAGATATCTGATCTCAATTAGTTTTTTAAAAAGGCAAAATACAAGATATCAATGAGGTATGATCTTAGCTTTATTAAAAAAAAAAAATATATATATATATATATATATGTATGTATATATATATATATATATATATATATGTATATAGGAAAAATTCTTCCAGAAAATTAGCAGTTATTTCAGAATGAGCTTATTAATGGCTTTAATTACCTCCCATTTACTGGGCTATCCTGTGTTTTCTTTATCGCTCATGTGTTCTCATATCCAGAAATGTCATTTTAAAATGACGTTAGGACCTAGTGACTTCCCAGGGGGGCGGTGTCAGCAGAGGGGTCCCTCTCCTTCCAGCCCTCACTCTGTCCCCAGAGCGATGACACGGTGTTTGTGGGGTGATGGGCAGCAGCCACTCTCACAGCAGAGGCCGTGACATTGGGAGTTGGTATCCCATGTGCCAGGAAAAGGTGGCGGTCACAGCTGACCTTGAGATGTGGAGAGGCAGGGGAGGGGTTCCCCTATCGATCGAACCATGTGAAACTGTCAATTTTTAATAACTTTCAATTTATACAAAGCAATTTCACATGATTCAACCTAATCTACTGCCTCAGCACAGGAGTCCTCCAGCTTGGGGCTCTGGGACTTCTCGATGGGCCTGTGGAGCTGTTGATCCACGTTCTTCCTGTGGCCAACCCAAGGACAGATGGCCACGTGCTTCCTGTTGGCCTTTTGGCTAGTCATTTGTCACTTGATTGTCTCCATTGATTTCTGGGACCATCCATCACTAGGAGGCAGCCAGCAGCAGGTGCCAGGAGAAAGAATTTATCGGAGAAAGGAGTATGATTAATTCAACCTGAGGCGCTGAGGAGCCTGGGGGAGGTAGACAAGGAAATAAATACATCTGGGTGGAGGTACTGGAGACTTGACCTTTATCACCCAGTCATTAACCCTGGGAGTCTTCCATAGAACCTGGGGTTCCTCGGGGCACAGTTTGAGAACCACTGCCTCAGCCCCTTACACACTTGTTTCAGGTTTCCGAGTGTGGAGCCTTGGGAGGTCAGAGAAACCCTAGCTTAGGAGTAACAATACCCGGGGATACTGCCTAATGACTAACGGGAGGAAATATCCTGGCAGGTGAGGAGTCATGCCTCCCTCTGGGCTTAGGTTATGGACAGGGCACCACCAGCCTGACACTGTGCCCGCTGCCCCGTGGGTCACCGAGGTGGCTGGGGGCTGGGGAGGGTGCTGGGCCTCTGACCGTGTTCCTTGGAGTTAGGCATCTCACCTGGTAGCCCACTGTTACTTGTTTTAAAACTCCGTTTCAATATTAACAAAGGACAAGCCAATGAAATAGAACTTGGAAAAGTTGGAGCAGTGAGAAAGGAGGGGAAATAACTAACTTTACTCATATAGTCCCACCGCCCAAAGTCAAGCTGTTAGTACTTAAATGTATTAACAACTTTTCCTTATTCTGTATAGACATTTATTATGCTCAATCTTCCTATAGCTGGAATTTTATGTCCAACCTTAATTAAAAATCTAATATTAATTTTCTGCATTAGTGCCATTACTTTTATAAACCTTTCAACCATGATTTGATAGACCATAATTTAATAAGCTAATTTACTGATATGTATTATAATTGAATATAAAGTCTGATGTAAAAAGAGAAAAAAAAGAGAACAAAGTGTAATGTAAAGTATTGATAGCTGAATGTGGACAGGCAGGTTATTAGCAGTGTTTGCTGCAGGGTGTGAGTATCTCTCGGGCAGAAACGTTTCTGTGGTGAGCTATTCCCCTTGGATAAGGTCCCAGAAGTGCACGTACCAGATGACCAGGGACAAACCTAACCGGGCCCCAGGCACCTGTCGAACCCGTGGGCCTCCCGGTAGGACTGGTGGCTTCCCGACCCCAGGCTGTGGCCTCACTAACGGGCAGTCCTTCCCTCACGCCAGGTCCCTGGGCCACACCCCCTCCATGACGACGTCAGACCTCTCCACGCACTCCACCACCTCGCTCATCAGCAACGAGGAGCAGTTCGAAGACTACGGGGAGGGGGACGACGTGGACTGTGCTCCCAGCAGCCCCTGCCCGGACGACGAGACCAGGACCAACGTGTACTCGGACCTGGGGTCCTCGGTGTCTTCCAGGTGGCCGGCCGCGTGGTTTGGGATGGCGTTCGGGGCCGGGAAAAGTGGCAGAACCAGCCCACCCTCATCCCGGGGGGTCCGCAGGCAGAGTCCTGAGCTGCAGGATTCTGCTCCTGGGGGTTGGGGATGTTGATTTGCTCCTGGCTGGGGGTCTGGAATTCCTTCTCTCACCTTCCATCTTGGGGAAGAGACAGAATTAGCCAACGGGGGTCATCGTTGAAGGGTTTTTCTGGGTGCGTACTTACACTTTCCACACACCTGAGTCACTGATTATTCTAACTCTAGCATGTTCAGTTGCCTCATCTATGAAATGGGTACAACTCATTGGCTTCTTCTATTTGAGAGTTTTGAAGGAGGGGAGACCTGGTGCTGTCCTCTCCACCCTCCAGCCACACACACACACACACACACACACACACACACACACCCGTTCCCAGTATTGGGGAACCCAGTAGAGTAAGCTCAGCAGGATGGGGTGGGCACCAGCCTGGACGGCCGTTAAGAAGGGGTTGCCCTCTCTTCCATGAATCAGTGCTGGGCAGACGCCCCGGAAAATGCGGCACATGTACAACAGCGAGCTGCTGGATGTCTACTGCTCTCAGTGCTGCAAGAAAATCAACCTGCTCAACGACTTGGAAGCCCGGCTGAAAAACCTGAAGGCCAACAGGTGAGGCCGGGCTCCGCCTGGGGTGCAGGTGGCTGGGGGTGCGGGGGCGGAGGGGGGGCATGGCGGGGATGGGGGGGGGCAGTGGCCAGGGTGAGGGCAGGAGGGGAAGCAGCAGGCAGGGGAAAGCACTCTCGGAATGGGGTTGATCCTTGGAGCCTGCGCTTTTTGCAGCAGGAAGATCAGGGTGCTGCCTCTCAGGACCGAGCTGATGAGGGAAATCCCTTCGCTGGGCTGGGAAAGGGCTTGGCTCACACTTCGGTGTCTTGCAGCCAGGGCGGAAGGGCAGCCCAGAGCCCCGCTGTTCAGTGACCATGTTTCCCCCCTCTCTCTTTCTCTGTAGCCCCAACCGAAAGATCTCCAGCACTGCGTTCGGACGGTGAGCCTCCTCTCCCCCCACTCCAAGGTTGGACAGGTGGAATGCTGTCCCTGCTGCCAGGGCGGCCGGCTCCATGCCAGCAGCCCAGACCCAGGCGGTGCCCTGCCCCCTGAGTGTGGCTGAGTGAGCAGAGAGGAACACGGCGTGCCAGGCAGCGCCACCAGAGGACACACTCCTGAGAGAGGAGGGCCTCCTCCTCCCCATCCCCACGCCTTGTCCTCTGGCAGAGTCGGCATCTGCAAAGCCTCAGCCTCGGCAGGCTCAGCCCCCTCACTGTCAGGCCTGTCCTGCGCTCTGAGAGGCCCTGGGCTTCCTGCTGGCAGAGGCGGCGGCTTTGCTCCAGGTTACATCCTGCGGAGCTAACTTCCTGGGGCCGCCAGGACCCGCTCAGGTTCTCCTGCACGCTGGCCCCGGGTCTGCTCTCGGGCTCTGGCCCAGGAGCCAGGGTGAGACAGCCTCCTGGTGGGGACCCTGGCTGCTGCCTAACAGTGGGAAGCGGGAGCCCTGGGGAGTGGAGCTGGGATTTGCCTCAGGCAAGAGCTACACCTGCCTGTTTCCAGGATTCTAGTCTCACCCCCCAACACACCGCCCACACAGTCCGGGAGGTCTTCCTTTGCCTGCCCCGGGGCCCCAGAGATGGAGCAGGAGCCGGCTTGGTGAGGGCACTGGGGCCTCTGGGGCCAGTCCTGCTGGGACCGCGGAGCCGGGCTGGGAGGGTACGGGCTTATCCACCAGTTCTGGTCACCTGGCAGCTACTGGCTCGAACCCCTGTGTGGACGGGTTCTGACGCGGCAGGAAAGAGCTGGTATGGATCAGGGGCTCTGAGGGACGTAGCAGCCATCTGCCTTCCTCTGAGCTGGATGACCTCTTGAGTTCAGAGGTCAGGCATCTCTCCCCTGGCTGGGTGAGGGCAGCCGCCTGAGAGGGGGTTCTGGTGCACACCCCTTTCCCCGGGGTACTGGGTGCCCAAATCTGGACCTCAGTCCCCAGAGGCCCTCTGCATCCAGACGCGCCTCCCTCCACCCCTGCAGGCAGCTCATGCACAGCAGCAACTTCAGCAGCAGCAACGGCAGCACCGAGGACCTGTTCCGGGACAGCATTGACTCCTGTGACAATGACATCACGGAGAAGGTGGGCCCAGCTCCCTGGAATGCTCTCTGGGAGCTTGGGAGACCCTGTCCCTTTTGATCACATGGGCACGTCCATCCCCACCCCATCCTCACTCCCACCAAACATGACTCTGCCCTCCGTACAGTCAGCTGGAGGGCCTGGCCTTCGGTGCCAGGGTTTCTGGGGCCTCAGAGGTCTTATCCTCCCCCACCTCTGCCCCTATTGTAGGTGAGCTTCCTGGAAAAAAAGGTGACCGAACTGGAGAACGACAGCCTGACCAACGGGGACCTGAAGAGCAAGCTGAAGCAGGAGAACACGCAGCTGGTGCACAGGTCAGGCTGTGGCTTTGGCGCAGGGCGTGGCTGTGACTGAGGAACGGAGGGCTGTCCGTGTTGCCAAGGCCCCGATAGGAGCGAGGGGAGCTCTCGGCTCTGTGGGTCTATGACGAGTCAGCCCCTTGCTCCATGGCTCTGCCCATGCAGGGTGCCCGGGAGCACTGGTCTTTGGGGACGGGGAGACAGGCAGGGGCCTGACCTTGACCCCCCAGGTCTGCAGTCCTGGGCATGCTGAGGCAGGGGTTGGGATCCACTCCTGTGTGTGTCCTATGATGACGAGAGCCTGACCTCCCCGCCTGGGGACCAGCTCTGCACAGGGAGAGGCTGGTGTGAGGGGGGCCCACGCCTGCTGCCGGTGGGGAAAGTCCAGCACTGCTCTTCTCTCCTCCATGGAGGCCCGCGGAGCAGGCGTTCCCCAGGGCCGGCTGGAATACGTGGTGGTGGGGGTGCTGCATCTGCTCCTGGTTGGGAGTCTGGAGTTCCTCAGCGCACAGAGCATGTAGCTGTCTTCACAGGATCGCCTGAACCTTGTTACCCTGATCCCCACCCAGGCCTGATCCTCAACCTCGTACTCCCCTCCCCGAAGGTCAGCCTCACGGAGGGACTCTTGCCCCTGGCATGTGCCCCAGATGGATGGATCGCCGAGGCCCCTAGCACTGGGTTGTAACACCCCTAGTGGGGCTGGTCCTTCCCCAGGTCTGCCATGCTCAGGCCACTAGCCAGGAGTCAGGATGCCCAAAAGCTGAAGTACTGACTAAGGTAGGGGTGTCGAACTCAATCAGAGAAGGGGCCAAAATCTAAAATCCAGCCTAAATCGCGGGCCGAATGGTTTACTGAACAGTCATAAACTGTCATTGTGATGGAAACGCAGCGGAGTGCAGTGATGACAGCGCGGTGCGGGCCACATTGCAAGGCCTGGCAGGACGGATTTGGCCCGCGGGCCTTGTGTTTGACACATGTGGTAAGGAGTACGGGCAGGAAGGGAGAGCGGGAGAGCAGGAGAGGCCTGAGGGCTGTTCTGTTCAGCTGTTCCTCCCTCCCTCCGTCTGCCCAGGAATCCCACCTTCTCAGGCACAGCCTCGCTCCCCTCTGGACCCACTGCAGGCCTGCGCTCCGTGGCATGCCCCGCTGACACCCTCTCCTTGGGTGCCATACGTCCCTAACTCATCTGTCAGCAAAGCTGCTGGCCCAGGCCTGACAGACCCGCCGCGTCACCCACAGGAGGGACGAGGGGGTGGGGGGAGAGACACAGGCCCTGGACTGGAGTCCACTCCTCTCCACAGGGTGCACGAGCTGGAGGAGATGGTGAAGGATCAGGAGACCACGGCCGAGCAGGCCCTGGAGGAGGAGGCGCGGCGACACCGCGAGGCCTACGGCAAGCTGGAGAGGGAGCGGAGCACGGAGATCGAGCTGCTCCACACCAGGTGGGCCTTCCCAGAGCCGGCGCCTCCTGACACACACACACACACACACACACACACACACACACACACACGCTCCGGGCGCAGCCTGAGGGGCAGGTGCCGCCCCCGTTTTAGAGACGGGAAAGCAGCCAGAGGGGAGGCCGTGTGTCCTGGCAATGCTACTTTTAATACCTGAACACGTGACATGTGCTCTAGGAGGCGTGTCCAAGAATGTTCACAGCAGGTAAACTGGAAACAACACACGTCTGGGTAAAAAGCCCCCAAACCGGTATGGTTGCCTTGATTCCTGGGCTGAGACTAACGTCCGGGCTTGGAGCTCCCCCTGCTGTCAGGTTCTTCACTCACCCTGGGCCCACAGCCAAGGGAACGGGAAAAGCTGGGCCGTTGTCAGGGCTCTGGGCCTCTGGTAGAGACAGTGGAACCGAGGCAGACAGGGAGAGGGGTACTGGCCTGGGACTCAGGGCTGGTCACCCATCAGTTCCGTGAGCTGGAACGCACTATGTCACTTCCCTGGGCCTCAGTTTCCTCACCTGTCATCCCTGCCCCCCTGCCTGAGGGTGGCTGAGCTGATGTACATCAGACGCTGCTAATGGGTGAGGGCTGCCTTCACTGCTGACCCGGGCCGGGGCGGCCTCCTGGGCCCTGGCAGAGCGGACAGCTGCCCCCGCCCTCAGTCCCCAGTGTCCGGCTGAGCCTTCTGGGTGTCTGCTGGCCACCTTGGGGTGGAGGGTGCGTTGGAGGTGGGCTCCCACTTGCCCCTCGGGGCTGGCAGCAGGAGCTTCCCCGCCTGGGAGGTCAGGCGGGGCCAGAGGTGCCTCTTTACACTTCGGCGAGACCTCCTAACTCCCCTGTGCCTGAGACCCGCTTTGTTAGCGTTGTCTCCGGGGCTCATTTAAGTTTTCACTCATGTCTCGAAGCTGCTGTTTGGCATCTGTTTCCGGAGGCTGATCCCCCATTAAGGGCACTGTTCTCTGCTTCTGACAGCCGCCAGGTGCGCTGGCCCGGGAGGGTCTGGGAAGAGGTGGTGGAGGAGGACAGTGGGTGTGGGCCAAAGGCCAAAGCACAGAAAGCCAGCCCTCTTGGGAACTGTCTCCTAACTCATGCCCCCTGCACAACTCCAGGGGGCACTGTTCATAGAGAATATGCAGACAGTGCTCCCAGGGCCATGCGGGGTGCTTGTTCCTCACATCCTCCACCATCTCGAGTTCCCCATGAGGTGGCTTGGTCACAGCGCACGTCTGAATTTCTTCCTGGCCTGGCCTGAGGGCCTCTCCTGGGGCGGGTTTGGGAGGCAACCAATCAGTGAGTCTCTCTCACATCAATGTTTTTGTCTCTCTTTGCCCTTCCTTTCCCTTACACTCCCTATGGAAAAATATCTCTGGGTGAGGATTACCAAAGAAACAACACCTACCTGTCTTTTCATGGGGTGGAGGCAGGACAGCTCCTGGCGAATGCTAACGGAGAGGATTATGGTTATTGGAAGTGACTCCTGTGGATGTCAGGGGCAGCTGTAGTGAGCGCTCAGAAGGAAGAGCCCTGGTGAGATACTGCAGGGAGAACAGAAAACAAATATGGCCGCTGCCTTCAAACTGCAGGAGGGCCCTGTCAGACAACCACAGGAGGCCTCCTCTTGGGAGAAAAGCATGCCCCTCGTTCGTTTCAGGCCATAAGGGTGCACGTGAAAATGACCTGACATTCTTATTCACAATCGAGTGACTCAAGAAAAATATAAAAATAATTCAGTGTCTTTACCATTTGTCCTTGGCTGACGGGAAGCTCAAGGCCGTGTAATCATTTGAAATAATTATTTATGTTCTCTCTGCGGCTTTCTGGTACCTTTCCTCCTCCAGGGAGCAGAGGATTGCTGCAGATTGTCCAATTGCTAGATGACGTCCCCCTCTGACACGTCCGTCCTCTCTCCTCAGGGTGCAGCAGTTAGAGGAGGAGAACACAGAGCTCAGGACGACAGTGACGCGGCTCAAGTCGCAAACGGAGAAGCTGGACGAGGTGAGCAGCAGGTCTGGACCTGGAGCCAGACGCACAGAGAGGCAGAGTGGCCAACCACGGCCTCTAGTTTCTGAAATTCTAATAAAATTGCCATAGGGGGGGAAAAAAAAGGCAGTAATATGAATAATAACTTGTCTTCCTATATTTCTGATTTTCTAAATTTTCTGCAGTGAATATATTTCCTTATATAATAGAAAGGAGGAAAAGTTACTTTCTAAACGCTCGGGCTGCCACCTTCTAGCCAAGTTTCACCTGGCATCACAGAAGGAGGGCAGAGGCCTCGGTGTTTCCAGCAGTTCTAGAATCCCAGGGATCCGGGTGTTTCTTTAGGAGCGGGACGCGGAGGGCTCTGTCCCGGGGGCCGGGCTGGCTGCCTGGGGTGGCTGACACGGACCCTCAGGGAACCCCGGGGCACAGCGAGCCCCTCTGGGAACCTTCCTCTGACCTGGTCTCCCCGGGCCCAGGAGCGGCAGCGCATGTCGGACCGGCTGGAGGACACCAGCCTGCGGCTCAAGGACGAGATGGACCTGTACAAGCGCGTGATGGACAAGCTGCGGCAGAACCGCCTCGAGTTCCAGAAGGAGCGGGAGGCCACGCAGGAGGTGGGTCCCGGGCCAGAGGGCTCCCGGTTCCCCCCTCCGCCCTGCTCCCGCCAACGGCCCCTCTCCCACGCAGCTCATCGAGGACTTGCGGAAGGAGCTGGAGCACCTGCAGATGTACAAGCTGGACTGCGAGCGGCCAGGCAGGGGCCGCAGCGCGTCCTCCGGCCTGGGCGAGTTCAACGCCAGGGCCCGCGAGGTGGAGCTGGAGCACGAGATCAAGCGGCTCAAGCAGGTGGGGCCTGGGAGCCCCGGGAGCCCCGGTGCGGCCTGGGAACCCCGGTGCGGCCTGGGAGTCCCGGTGCGGCCTGGGAGCCCCGGTGCGGCCTGGGAGCCCCGGTGCGGCCTGGGAGTCCCGGGAGCCCCGGTGCGGCCTGGGAGCCCCGGTGCGGCCTGGGAGCCCCGGTGCGGCCTGGGAGCCCCGGTGCGGCTGGGAACCCCGGTGCGGCCTGGGAGCCCCGGTGCGGCCTGGGAGCCCCGGGAGCCCCGGTGCGGCTGGGAGCCCCGGTGCGGCCTGGGAGCCCTGGGAGCCCCGGCGCGGCCTGGGAGCCCCGGCGCGGCGGGATCAGGTGTCCACAGCCCCAGGGGTGGGTTCCCACACGCCCCTGCCTGCTCCGCGCAACAGCCTGGCTGTCAGGGCTGCTCGCCCTCATCTCAGCTCAGGCAAGGCAGCCACGGCCGAGGGAAGTTTCCAGGGCTTTCCTTGGCATCCATAAAGAGAGAGACACCACTCTTCTGTCCTGGGACGTGAGGTGGAGAATGAGACTCCCCCAGCCGAATAGCAGTGCCTCCCGGTGTGGGGTCTCCAGCAGACCCATCTCATAGGGTTTCTGGGAGCACCCCTGTAACGGAGACCCGTCAGGGGTCGGAGACGAGGGGCCAGGAGGGGCAGTGACCCTGCTGAAGCCCCTCGCTTAGCCTGGGGTGGGAGCGCCATACAGCTTCTACCCCTGAGTTGGCTCCTCCACCAAGGCAGCCGATGCTGGTGCCCGCCCTCCCACGGCAGTACTAAACCCAGCTCTTCTCATCCACCAGGGGGCGCCCGGGGTCCCAGGTGTGAGTCCTTAGAAGCCCTTTGGCAGAAGCAGGAGCCGTGGGGCTGGTGAACGGGTCTGGGGAGTGAGGATGCGCCTGAGGAGAGCTCCCAGAGGACTCCTGAGGCCGGCTGCAGGAGGCGCTGAGGAGCGGAGGCCACTGCCAGGGGACTGGAGACCGCTTTTCCTCCCTGAGGGGCAGCGTCCCCCCACAGGGCCTCAGGGGCTCCATTCTGGCTCATGCAACCCCAGGGAGGAAGGGGTGACCTGAAACCAGGCTCCCTGAGCAGGGCTGTGACTTCTGAGAACCCCTTGACCTCCCAGGCCCCAGCCCTTCCTCCTCCACCCACTGCGCCCTGCCCTCCCTGCAAGCCTGGCAGCGGCCACATCATCTCTATGGGGTCCTGACATGACACCCGCCTGAGGGGAGGGCACTGGGGGGTCAGGTGACTGGATGCAGGCAGGTGGGTTCTGGATGCTTCCGGAGCTGACAGTGCCTCTGCCCTCCTCACAGGAGAACCATAAGCTGAGGGATCAGAACGACGACTTGAACGGGCAGATCTTGAGCCTCAGCCTCTACGAAGCGAAGAGCCTCTTTGCCACCCAGACCAAAGCACAGTCCTTGGCTTCGGAAATCGACACGGCCTCGCGGGACGAGGTAGGGTGCCCGTTCACCCCTGCTCTCGCTTCGGGCCAGGCCTCTGAGCCCTGCCCCATTCCCACCTGTTGGAACATCGAGCCCCAGGCTGCCCGGAGCAGGGAAAACCCATCTGCAAAGGCCTGGCCCATCTGCCCGGACCCTGAGTGCGGGCGGAGCTGCGGGAGGGTTAATCAGCTCTGATTTCCTGCAGGTGGTGGGAGGGGCTCCGGATTGGAGCTTGAGTCTCAGCTCAGCCACACCTGTGCAGAGATGGCCAGTTGATTCATTAACATATCGCTCAGGGCATCTGTCACTCCCCTCCTCCCAGCCAGGAGGGCGGGGCACGAGCACTTCCGGAGCACCTGCTGGCAGTATGCCCTCACTGCATCCTCTGACACCTCGGGGGCTGACTGAACAGACTGGGAGGCCAGGGCACGGGCACGGAGCCTGTGGGGGGGAGGGACCTGGGCCCCCAGCACAAAAGCTCCCTCTTCCTGCCCCGCAGGGGGATGGTTATAAAAGTTCAGCTCTCCAGATACTCCGGTTACATTTAAGCACGAATCTAAGAGGTCACTGAGCCCCTTACCCTGTGCTGGGCCCCTGGCCTCGGAGAGCTCCAGCCTTTCAGTGACGCCCCAGAGGACTGTCAGGAATTGACCGGAGAGGGGCAGTGGCAGGGCTTGGGGTGGCCAGGGGCCCTTCCAGGCTGAAGAAACAACTGACAAGGCTCAGGGTCCTGGGGATTTGGGTGTCAGTCTTGATTATAAACACCTTTGGCCAGCGTCCTCAGCTTTTACCAAAAACTCACTCATACCTGGCTCCTCCACAGACCAGTCACGTCAGGGTCTCTGGGGTGGGCCTGGGCATCTGCATGGCTCACACCCCTTGTGTGTGATTTGAGCCGGGCATTAGACTCGTGTCCTGGCACCGGGTGCTGAGGTTGGCCTTGGGGCTGCCTTGCCTGGGTCTCCTGGGCACTGGCTGCCTGTGAGCTGGGCACCGGGCTCCGCCCAGGCCGGCCTCTGACCGCCTCTCCCATTACCATCAGCTCATGGAAGCCCTCAAGGAACAGGAGGAGATCAACTTCCGGCTGCGGCAGTACATGGACAAGATCATCCTCGCCATCCTGGACCACAACCCCTCCATCCTCGAGATCAAACACTGAGGCGGGGCTGGCTGCAGAGCCGCCTGGGACCAAAGGGCAGACCCTGCCTGAGGATGCGGCCCCAGCCGGGCCCCCCCACACCGAAAGTGTATCTGGCCACCGTGTCAGGGTGCTGGTGTGGAGGTGGGACGCTGAGCACCCAGCGCGGGTGAGCGCGGGGCCGGGCTGGGGTGACGGCGCCTTTGGCTGTCCATGTGCACTTTGTGGTCCCTCTGCAGGGGCAGAGCGTCCTGGGGGTGCGGGGGGCCGGGGGCAGGTCTCTGCAATCAGGAGTGACTGTAACAGCGAGAACTGGAAGCTTGTGTTGCAGATACTGGATAAAATGATGCTACCTCTGTGGGTGACGGTCAAGTCCTCTGGGGAGACCGCTCTTTCTCCCGCCCATTCCTCCTGGGAGGAGGAGCCCAGTGATGACCTTTTCTAGTTTGAATGTCCAACGGGGTCGGCCTCGCCAGCCTCTGTAGCCACCTTTGAAGTCCAAGTGCTGGAGCTCAGAGAGGAGGAAGTGGCGTTTAGGGGGACATGAAGAGGGGCTTCCACCAGCCCCCCCTCCCCATGCTGCTTGGGCGCCGTGTGTCCAAGGACTCGGCTTGCTGCCGAGCCACCTTCATTCTGAGAATCCTCCGTGTCTCTACCGTCCCTGCTTACCTACCTCTCCCTCCCGTGTTCGTTTTGTTTTAAGACCATGAACATAAGCAGCCTTCGCTCGGCTGTAACGTGCAGGGATTAAAGGAAGGAGAAGGAGCAGGAGGCTGAGGGACGGGGCGCTCCAGGCAGGTGTTGGCATCAGGCAACCAAAGACGGGGTTTTCGGGGAGCACGCTCGCCTCCCCACCGGCTTCCTCCCGCTGGCCACACCTGGGATAAGAAGCTGGGATGGACGTCAGCTGCTGCTGGGCCGGCAGGGGGCCTGCTCACCGCCCTGCCTTCTCCGCAGCCTGAAGCCTGGGGATGCAGCTGGGGGCGCGGATGTGCAGGGCCAGGCCTCTGGGCTGGGCTCAGAGGGGCAGGGAGACCCCGGCATCCCAAGTTTTAGGAGCACACCTGCTGGTCCTCGGTCCTCTGTCCTCTGTCCTCTGTCCTTGTCACGTGGGAGACGAATGCTGTCCTGGCGGGAGACACCGTTGGGGAAGTCTCAGGGCGGCCTTAGTCGTGCGTCCCTGGGACACGGTGGGAGTTCACACTCCGGGTTTTCAGTGTGATCTTTCCGGGCGGCTGGGAGTAGCAGATCGGGTGCTTCTCCTTCGAGCTTTTCCAGTGGTTCTCCTTTTCACGTGGCTGATTCATTTCCTCAACCCCCATCTGTAAACATGTATGGTCTTTCTTTCCCCCCGAGGTTGCTTTCGTTAGCACTTCCAGTGTGATCTCCCTGGGAAAGTCTGGGCATGTTAGGGAAGGGGTGGGGGGAGTGTGCCTGGAAGGGAGGGGAGTGGAGGGCGAAGAGGGGACTTGGGGGTTCCCTGCTTACAGAGGCAGGCTGGCAGGCTGTGGCCACAACCACCTTCATTGCAGTCCCCTCAGCTTTTGCTCTGGTTGGTTTGTGTGACCTTTTCGAGCTTATGTGTGGGGTCTGTTTCATGCTGCAAGTAGCGGGGCTGCACTGGCTTCACCTGGGAGCTTCTCAACCCCTATGACACTGGTTAGTACACTGGTCTCCTCGTGCTCCGCAGGGGGTCTGCGAAGTGGGGGTGGAAGGAAAGCTTGGGGAGCCGGTCTCTGGAGAACTTGCTAATAGGAAGGATGGCCACGAAGGAAACAAAAGAAAGGATAATCAGGACCCGGCTCTGGTCTGGGTTTTATTGGGAAGGAGTCCCGCAGAGAAGCCGGCCAGGTCCCAGGCCTGGTCTGTTGGGGGCTGGCCCCAGGGATGAGCATTTTATGTGTAAAACTTGACAAGCTCTTTAGCTGCAGGGAGGTCGGAGGCTGCCACAGCCTGATTGTGGGAAGGGGTTTCTGCAGTGGGGAAAGGGGCGGGAAAAGCTGTCAGCCCGCAGCATTCTGCATCTCCTCCTGCAGGGGGCGCCACAGGCACCTTCCCCAAGAAAGCACAGCGTCTGAGAGGCCCTCAGGGCCTGGTGCTGGGCTGCAGGGTCTCTGGAAGAGGGCGGACTTTAAAACGAGGCTGAATTCCATGTAACACACTCCTCAAGTTAAATGCAGCCTCTGACACCAGCCGGAATACCTCTTACAAAACCTCGCCTGCCCAATTGGCTTTTTAAGATCACACTTTTTAAAAAGCTCTTCCGTGCTTGAAAGCTGCCCCGAGGAGGCAGGTGCCTCGGGATCCCAGCCCTCCAGCCTCGGGAGGCCCCTGAGCTGCGGCCCGCTCTGGGTCTGCCCTGTCCCCATGTCTCCTCCTCCCTCGTTGGTTCTCAGGGTGAGCCCTGCCCTGCTCTCAGTCCTGGTGAACGGTATCCAGGATGCCCAGTTCACTTTGAGTTTCAGATAGACGACATGATTTTTAGGAGAAGTGTAGTCCACGCAGTGGTTGGCACATAATTAAAGGGAGAGGTTTTTGAAATTCTGTTCATGGGCCCAAATCCCCAGAGGCCTGATTCCGTGGGTGTGGGTGTGGGTGTGGCCCAGGCTTCGGAAGGTGTGAAATTCCCCAGGTGACTGTGATTTGCCTGGGTGGCCTGTGTGGGTTTTGGTTTTGGTTTTGGTTTTTCCTACACCCAGGTAGGGGCCAGCACTACCCAGAGCAGCGGTTGCCAACCTTTGCGGCCTCACGGACCACCAGGGAGTGGTCCACGGACCACCGGTTGGCCACGCTACCCTAGAGGGGCTTCTGCAGAGAAGCCCACTTTACGTGACACTGGCCTGTCCTTACACTCAACGCAAAGCCAGACACATGAGTTTAATCTACAGAAGCTAATAGAACGGAGGCCCCGCCCTATGGGAAGGTATAAGAAATAAAGTATAGGTATAAGAAGGTATAAGAAATAAAGGTATAAGAAATAAAAAAAAAAATTAACTTTGACGTGGCCAGAGTTCGACAAGACGTTTTCTTTTTAAATGTGTTAGATTCTCGCCGAATAGTAAGAGGGGCATTTCTTTAGCGGTGACTTAACTTCTGACCTATCGAGAGCACAGAGCTCGAGAACCTTCCCAAGCCCCTGGGCCTGACAGGGTGCTTCTCAGCTCTGGCTGGGCATTAGCACGCCGGGGAGCTTTTTAAAATCCTGCTGACAGTCCCCTCACACACACCCCCTTTCCACGTTGGGGTTTAATTGTCCCGGGGGTGGGGGTGGCCCAGGGGTCTAGACTTTGGAAGGGACCCCAGGTTTTGCTGATGTGCAGCCCGGGGCTGGAGCCTGTCCTGGGAGGCTGCTGGCCGGGGCCAGGAGGAAGTGGCTGTGGGGCTTGTTAACCCAGGTGCTGGGTACCAGGGCGGTCTCCTGCTGGGCGGCTGGTGGGTTTTCCTGAGGTGATTTGGGATGGCAAGTAGTTAGCAGACCCCTTGATGCCTTCAGGAACTGGCGAATCCAGCTGTTCTCACCAGCCTGAGGGTTAGCAATCGTGATGGGCAGGTGTGCCTGGTGCCCGCAGTCAGTGGGTGGCAGGAGTGGGGATGGAGGAGAAGGAGCAGGACAGAGTGGCCTCAGAAACAGTGGGTTTTTCCTCCGGTCATTTCCCCCCGGGGCGGGGGGTAAGGGTTGCCCCAGCTCCTCCCCTGTGAATAGCCAAACCAACCCCCGGCCCACAATCAGGAGGCTCAGGTGCCATTGCACCCGGGAGTCTGATCGCTGGCCTGTCAGGAGGGCGATGTGGGCACTTCTGTTACAACGAGGGACCGAGGCCTCCGAGGACTCCTGGGGCCTGTGCGTCGGAGAAATGAGCCCTCTCTTTGTGCTCTGCGGGGAGGTGTGTGTTTAATGCATCAGCAGATTTAAACCCGAAGGCTCACCTGAGACGTGATTGGAAACGGGAAGTTTTTGGATGGTCACCAGGCCAAGGTTTGTTGTCCCATCAGATCTGCAGCGACTCTTTCAAAGGCCCGAGGTGGGTGTTAGAGGGCCATTCCATACTCTCATCTCCCAGCCTGCCTTCCTCTGTGACCAGGGCTGGGGTTCCGGCTGGGAAACAGGCCTCAGGCTAGGGGGGGTCCTGCCCTCCTGCTCTGTGTGTGCATGAGAGGGTGGGAGCAGGGCGGGCCAGCACCTCAGCTGCCCCCCTGGACAGACAGACTACTTTCTAGAAAGTTGTTCCTAAAAGCGTAAACCCTGGTGAAGCTTGATGCGCCATGATTTTGTTGCTTCTCTTTCCATTGTGACTGTAACGGGGAGATGCCTGCCCCAAGCCCCCCAGGAGGGGTGGCTGGGAGTGACACCCCTGCAGGATCTGAGTGCTGTTGTCCCAGGAGCCCGAGCCTCCCCCCGGGACCCGCTGTTCCTTGCTGCCCAGGCTGCGTTTTGTCTGCATGGTTTGGGGTCATCATCCTTGTGCCTTTTTCTTCCCTGTCACCCTGTGCAGGACTTCCCGCGTGGCCACTGCCCCCTTTTCTACGCCCTCCCGGCCCCCGGCCCTCCCCGAGCTGTAGATGTGTACACAGCGCTGCGCTCCGCGTCCGCGTGCCTCCGCCCCCTCCGCCCGCAGGGACGGGGCTCCCTGCCCCCGTCACTCCGCCGCGCAGCGTGGCCACGTGTACAGATTTCTCCATTTTGGTCTTAAGCTTGGGGCTCGGGCCCGCTCAGTCCCTCGTCCAGCCTGCCGCTGGTGCGGAAGCCTCGCGGCAGAAAGGGCGGCTTTGTGTAACCTCCTCCCTCCGCCTCTCCCGTGTCGGCGTCAATATTTATGGAAAGCAGAGCGAGCGCACCTTCCCGGCCTGGGGCTTCCGCCGGAATGGACGTTCGGGTCTGCCAGCTCCGTGGGCCCACCGAGATGCACCCCCTCGCCCCCGGGAAGCCGCTGCCACGGGGTGTCTCGCACGGCTGCGGACAGGCGGGCAGGAGGAGGATGAGGCTTCTCGCCGCCCCGCCTGCCGGGAACAACTGCCAAGCTCTCCCTCATCTGCCAACGGTGCTCAGACCCGGGTGCCATTGGTGCCATTAACCCCCCACTGGTGTGGGGACCGAGGTCCTCTCGCAGCCTGCTGGCTCCCTTCATCCCAGCTCTCACCGCTCTTGGCTGGGTCTCCTGCTGGAGGGGGGAAGGAGGGGAAAGGGGTTCCACTGGAATAAGCTGCACGTGTGGCCGCAGGTCCAAGGGTGGTGGATGGCTTTGACTCTGTGGCTCCACCTGAGTCTTCAGCCCCAGGAGCCTCCCTCTGGAAGCCGGCTTAGCTCTCGGCCGGCCCTCGGGCCAGGGGAGACCTCCGCCTCCAGGCCCCGGGGTAGGGGGAGCGGGGAGAGGCCCCAAGGCTGTGAGCTGGGGTCCTGGGCTCGCCACCTCCAGCCTGCTTCCAGCCAAAAAGCAGCAGCCGCTCAGAGGCGGGCTCCCTCTAAAACTCGTGTACAGACTGAGGTGTAAATAAACAGTTTGCTTTTCTTGCCTGACTTAGCGGTGAGTTTCTGTGGTGGAGGAGGGAGGGAGGGAGGGAGGCGGGGGAGGGAGGGAGGGAGGCGGGGAAGGGGGCTGGTTCCAGGGCTCATGCGGATAGACACCTTCCTACAAAGAGCAGGCCTCACCTCGCGTGCCAGGGGCTGGTGCTGACCTGCGGGGCTGGGGGTCTCCCCGCAGACAGCTGCAGCCGCTGTCCCTACTCGATGCCTGTGGATCCCACAGCTCCTCTGACACCCCCAGGCCGGCCCCAGGGCGAGTGTGAAACGTTTGTCCTCACTGCACCCACGTTCCCGCTCCCAGCCAGGGCCTCTCAGGGGCTCGGCTTACTCTGGTCACTGTGTCCCAGTGCCACTTCCTCCAGGCCAGCCACCACCGTGACCCCGGGGCACAGGCAAGTCCCCCCTCAGCCTCGTCTCCCACTGCCCTGCCAGCGCTGGGCCTGCCAAGCCCCGTATGGAGGTGGCTCCCGGGTAGGTGGCCAGACCCCAGATTTCTACCCTCTCCTGTTCACCCCTCCCTCATCGGTACAGGGTTCCAGGTATCAAAGGGGCTCATAGGTCACCCAGCTGCTGGAGATGGATCTGCCCTCCCTGCTGGCCAGGATTTTAGGGCGGGCAGGACCAGACGCCTGCACTTCCCCAGGGAGGCCTCTGCCTTGGGTCTGCCAGCGCAGACACCCACTCCCGGCCCACTGGCCTCCCGTGGCCTCCTGTTCTCCGGGAAGCCACCTCCCAACACGGGGGGGTTGTGCTCTCGGACCTTCTTCCCTCCATCCTCCTAACGTGCCTTCCTTCCCTCCCCACTAGGGCTGCTAGATTTTGCAAATAAAAATGCAAGAGACCCAACTAAATTTGAATTTCCAAATTACGTTGTTTAGTTGAAGTGTGTGCCATGCAGCACGAACACGTTACTCGGCGTATTTCTGAAATTGGGATTTAGCCGGGCACTTGTTAAACCTGGCAGTCCTAGTCCCAGCCCTCCCCAGGCCTCCGATGCCCGTCAGGTGCCTCCAGGAGGCTTGTAGAAAGCTCCGCCCTTTCGGGATCCTGTGCTTGGGAGGGGGCTGCGGAGGCAGCACAGAGCCTGGCGGGCTAAGGGTGGGTCTCCGCCAGCCATTAAGCAAATGTTTTGTTTACAGCACCTGGTACAGGGCTGGGGGCTGGGCTTGCGATGGTGAGCAAAGCCGACCCTCCCCCCCATACCCGTGACACTGGAGCGTCTGGAATGCTGGGTGGGAGAGTCTCCATCCTGGCTGCACATGTGAATCACCTGGGGGGGAGGAGGGGGCATTCAGCCACGTGGGTGCAGGCCGAGCTGGGAGCCCATGCAGGCTCGGTTCCAGACGGCGGCACTGAAGCAAGCAGCACAGTAAAGCGCGCTGTAATCTTTCTGATGGTGGAGGGTCTTGCCTTCAAGTGGCAGAAACGCACCATCTGAGCAGCACCAAGGCGAAGCACAGTAAAAGGAGGTGCCCTGTGTGGGGGGACCCCGCCCGGCGCTGGAGGCTCGGTGGTGTGGTGGGACAGGACACTTTGGTGGGTTTTGTTTTGTTTTTGTTTTTCTCAAAGTCCCCAGGTGACTCCAGGGATGAGAATCGCCGGTGCATCCTCACTCCTGAAACCATTTGAGGAGTCCGGGAGAGTTCCGCTGAGGATGGAGGAGGGGGCGGGGCCAGGTGAGGGAGGTTGGGGCGGGCACGGGGGCGGGCACGGAGAGGCAAAGGCCTTAGAGAGCCAGCAAGAGGAGAGCAGGACCGCCCGCCACGGAAGGATCTTCCCCGGGGGCCGCCGGCCCAGAGCTGAGGTTCAGCGCAGCAGGCGGCCAGGTAGGGCGCTGAGGCGAGAGAGGAAGGCAGCCTGGACCCAGGTAAGACCTGGTTTTATTGTGTTTTTTTGCTGAGTGAGACGGGGAGTTGGAATCACTGTCACTTGGGCAGGGGAGCCAGCTTCTCACAGTCCTCCTGGGAGGGGTCTCCAGCCACCCGTCTCCATGGAAGGACTCAACTACAGCCACGAGCGGGAAAGCGTTCCTCCAGCTCCTCACGCGCGTCCTCAGCACGCGAGGGCAGGCGTAGCACTAGCCCGCATCCTGTCCAGAGACCCGTGGTCGGCAGGACAGTCGGTGGCCAGCAGAGGGGTGTTCGGTGGCCAGCAGAGGGGTGTTCGGTGGCCAGCAGGAGGATGGTCCGTGGTCAGCAGAGGTGCTTGGTGACCAGCAGGGGTTGCTCAGTGAGGGCCAAGGCAGGTTCCCCTCCAGTCAGTCCATCTGGATGTCTGTGCTGATTTTGGAGCCCGGGACATTGGCATGATGCCGCCCCCTCTTTGCCCTCCCCGCTGTTTGGCCCGCAGGGTCTGCGAGGCGGTGGTGCATGTTACTTTTTACCTGTTTAGGGCTCGCCATGTGCCGGGCAGTGTTCTGAGTGCTTGCCGTGTTTGCGTCATTTAATCCTCAGACAGCCATGAGGAGGGTGGTCGGAGTTTCCCCCTTTTCCCGACGAGGAAACTTGCCAGCACAGGTGGCCTAACCAGCCGCAGGTCACCCAGGATCCACACTCAGGTGCCGGGGTGGGGAAGCATCATCCCAGAGCCTCAGCCGGCTCCCCCAGGAGTGACTGCTCAGGGGGAGGGGGAGGCACTGTAGGGAGAAGGCAGTGCTGAGCCTGGAGCCTGGGGGGCTCTCCGGGGGCCGAGGACCATGCAGAGGGCCTGGCGGGCACAGTGGGGCCGTGCAGAGGGCCTGGCGGGCACAGTGGGGCAGCAGCCTGGAAGTGGGACCTCGTGTGCCCTGTTTGCTCTCAGGAGCAGGAGCAGAAGCCCAGGGAGGACGTCAGCCTCGTGGGCTGGGCTAAGGCCGTGGTTGGCAAACTGCGGCTCACTAGCCACATGCTGCTCTTTGGCCCCTTGAGTGTGGCTCTTCCACAAAATACCACGGCCTGGGCGAGTCTATTTTGAAGAAGTGGCGTTCGAAGAAGTTTAAGTTTAAAAAATGTGGCTCTCAAAAGAAATTTCAATCGTCATACTGTTGATATTTGGCTCTGAGTTCGCCGACCACGGGGCTAAGGGGTCAATTGTGCTCCAGGGCCCTGGGGCGAGGCTGTGGACTTTAGGGCCCGGGGCGTCCAGAGCCAGCTTCAAGCCAGTCCTGCCTGGAACTAATTGGAGGGGGGGGGTGTGTGTGTGTGTGTGTGTGTGTGTGGCCCTGGGTTGGGGCTGCAGGGAGTTCCCCTCTGGCTCCTGCCATCCCTGGTTTGGCCCTGCGTTCACTCCAAGCCCTGGCTTTATTATTGGGTTCTGATTGGGGCTCCAAGACATTGGTATGGCCTCTAGGTTTAAAAAAAAAAAAAAAAAAAAAAAAAAGTGCTGTGCCCAGCTGGTATGGCTCAGTGGTTAAGCATTGACCTATGAACCAGGAGGTCAGGTTCGATCCCCGGTCAGGGCACATGCCCGGGGGGACAGGCTCGATCCCCAAGAGGTGGGCATGCAGGAGCCAGCCAATCGATGATCCTCATAATTGATGTTTCTGCCCTTCTCTCCCACCACCCCCCCCTCTCTGAAATCAATAAAAACATATTTTAAAAATTTTTCAAAGAAAGATAGCCACAGCTCACAGCTGGCAAATGCAGCAGTGGTGGCAGGAGCCTCTCCTGCCCTGAGGGCTCCTGGACTGCAAGAGGGCGCAGGCCAGGCTGACGGAACCCCCCCCCCCCACTCCGAGTGCACGAATTTTGTGCACCAGGCCTCTAGTATATCTTGTAAGAGGCTAATATCCAGGATATATAAAGAACTACAACTCAACAATGAAAAAAAATCCTGGATAAGAACATCGGCCAAGGACTTGAATAGACGTTTTCCCAGATGGCCAATAAGCACATGAAATGCTGCGTTACATCACTAATTAGGGAAGTGCACGTCCATCTACAATGTGATACTCTCTCACACCCATTAGAATGGCCATAAAAAACAACAGCACAAGTGCTGACATGAATGTGGAGAAAGGGGGACCCATGTGCACTGTTGGTGGGAATGTATATTAGGACAGCCACTGTGGAAAACAGTTATGTAGGTTCCTCAAAAAATTAAAAATAGAACTCCCATATGATCCAGCTGTCCCACTTCTGGGTATAATATCCAGAAGAACCGAAGACAGGATCTCAGTATATTTGCACACTCATGTCCATTGCAGCATTATTCATGGTAGCCAAGAGGTGCAAGTGAGCGAAACGTCCGTGGTGGGGTGTGTGGGTAAAGAAACACTGGAAGGCATGTCATTGGGCCTTACGAAGGGAAGTCATGTTATGTGACAATAAGTATAAACCTTGAGGACGTTGTGCTAAATGACGTTGTGCCAGTCACAAAAAGACAAAACTGTGTGATTCCACTCATGGAGGTACCCTGAGTAGTCAAACTCCTGAAAACAGACAGTAGATTGGGGGTTGCCCGGGGCTGGAGAGAGAGGGATAAGAGGAGAAATAGAGATTCGGTTTTGCAAGATGAAAAGTTCCAGAGATCTGGTGCACAGCACTGTGCATATAGTGTCCGTTTTAAAATGGTTAAGGTGATACATTTTATGTTCTTTACCACACGGAATAGCTCTTCTGGGTTTTCCCCAATCACCACAATCTATACTTTTAAAAAGTTCTGCAAGTAAGTAAGCAAGCAAGAATGGCTGTGGCAGTGGCAGTGGCAGGGGGGCAGTGCTGGGCTGGTTGTTTGTGCACCTCCGTTAGCGGTGTGTACAGGAGGCTGGCGGGTGCCCCATCCACCCTGAGAGGAGGGCTCTTCTTCCCCCCATCACCTCCCCTTCTCCTCCTCAGTCACCTTTCTTAGAACAGATGCTGTGGCCAGAGGCCAAGCAAGCACAGAAGGATTTAATTTCTTCTTTTATTTTAACAAAAATACAAAATCCACAAAAATATATAGTATAAGTACTCATATTTCCATTGTTTCAGCTTTTTGCCTTTTACAGAATAAAAAATGTTACAAATAAAGTCTCCTATCCCTGCTTTGCCTTTCCTTTTACTTTAACAAATGCTGTGTATAGTCCGACACCAGGCTTGCTCACTCTATGCTGATAATCATCCCTTTGAATCTGGCTCATTCCTTTTCATAGTGACCTGACCCATGGTATGGACACACTCAGACTGGTCCATCCAGGTCGCCTCCGGTTGTTCACCAGGAACATCTGTGAGGATCTCTGTGTGTCCACATGGGTTCCTCCTGGGCAAGGCCACCTTGTGTAAAATGATGTTTATTCGGAATCTAGTGCCAGGGGTTAAAGGGCAAGGCAGGCGGGAGCAAAAGCAACCCGGGAAGGTTTTATTTACTCAGAAGATGATTCCTGCGGGACCAGTGAGAACCGGTCCCTTCCCCTGAGCCCTGCAGCCTGACCCCATCCCTCCTGGCTTCCTCCATCCTTCTCCAGGGTCGTTTGTGCTTGCACCATCTGGACAGAAACGACCCAGCCAAGGTCACATGGGAGCTCACAGATCGGGCAGAGAAGCTAGTGCAGATGCTTGGCCCTGGCTCGCTGGGGGCCGCGGTCTCCGCTTCTGCTCCCGTGGTAACGCATTGCTGGTGGCTTTTCTGCACCAGGGCTCTGGACCCCATCCCGGGCTCTGCGGGTGCCGTGCTCCTGGGGGCGCTGGCGGCGGCAGGGAGGGGACGGGCGGGCTCTCACGCTCTCCCGGTGGAACCCCATGCGGACGCCTGGCTGTGGTCCCAGGGGGCGGGGAGCGGGGCGGGCTGGCGGGCGGAGCCAGGGGCGGGGCGTCGCCCCTCCGCGCCTGCGCCACTTCCCCTCCACTGAGAGCTTCTAGCACCCGCTTGGCTGTCGGGCGCGGTGGCCAAGTGGTAAGGCGTCGGTCTCGTAAACCGAAGATCGCGGGTTCGAACCCCGTCCGTGCCTGGGTATTTAAATTGAGGTTGAGGTTGGGGTTAGGCAGTGGGGCTCTGATGGCCTCTTATATGCTGTCCCCACCTTCTGTTGCTTGGCTTTTTAACTTCAGATTTTGTTCTTAAGCCTTGCAGAGTGCAGGCATGTCTGGGATTGCTGTGTTGCTGATGGGGCACCTACACAACCAGGTTTGGTCCTGGCATGCTGGTTTTGTATGTCCTGATGGTGGGAGGACTTCCCAGAAAGGGCATTTTGGGTCTCTGGGAATGGGTTTTATGGTTTCTGTTTGTTCCTTGAAAGGTGAGTGAACTGCACTGTGCTTGTCCCTTGGTTTTTTTCTGTCTGAGTCAGGAAGCCAACCATATTGTTCAGTTGGTGGGTGCTTATTCCTTTCCCAGCACTTGTGAACTGAGCCTTTGAGTCTGGCTGTAGCCAGCTATGACACCCCCCAAGTCATCTCTAGGGTAGACCACCCGATTTAATAGAATATTATGTTGTGAGTGCTTCCCATTCAATACACTCCAGCCTGTCTGTTCCTTTCTTTGGTTGTGTCACTCAGCACTGAAAACACTCCTCCAGATATAGTCTCACTAATGAATGGAACTTAACCTCCCTCATTCTGCATTCCATATTTCTGTTAATATGACCAGAAGTCACATTACCTTTCAATGCACTTCACAAAAGGTGGATTGAAAGTCAGCAGAGTCTCTTTGGAATAGTGTCTAAGGTTATCAAAAGATAGGATGTGGGCTCAGGCAGCAGGAAATATATTTATCATTTCCCTAATATTCCAATGATGAAAGAGATGCTTGGCTTTTCAAGGGAACGCTGAGCTAGGTGTCAGTGTCAACGTGGACTTACTTGTTACTGAATGCAAATAAAGGCAGATCAAGGTGGGTCAGATATAAGCACGGGGTGGACATGGGAGCAGAGAGGATAGGAAGGGGGAATTTCCTAAACTATTGGGTATTGCCTTAGATCCTGTCTCTGAATTTGGATTTACCGATCCTTGGAACTCTGAGGCTGGGCATTGGGTTTCCTGCTGTAGCTGGAGGTGAGAATTCCATCCCAATGGGGGGGGGGGGGGGGTGGATAAGCCAGCCAAAGTCAATAAAACAGAATCAAGGTACAGAAGAAGTCAACATACAAATTTTGGGGGAAACGTGGGCCCCCAAAAGTGAAGAGCCAGATACAGGGATCAACTATGAGCCCCAGGTCAAGGTGGGTCAGATATAAGCACGGGGTGGACATGGGAGCAGAGAGGTCTTATAATTACCGTGAAGGCCTTCGGGTATCTACACTCACTTCTGTGGGGCTGGAGGTAATTATTGGCTTAAAGGGTGAGGGGAGAGGCAGGAGACACCTACCCTGAGTTCCCTGCACGGCCTCTATTCAGCCACTCATATACCTTGGACTTCAGCTTCCTTAGTTGCAAAATTTGAAAGTTGAAAAAGGTATTTCCTATGTGCCGTGTGGCCTCATACTTTACCTTCTATCTCAGAGCCTGGGCCTTGGACGAGGAATGGGACCCCAAGCTGCCTCATCGTCTCGCTCGTGGCTGCCAAAGGTGGATCATGGAAGCCCTTTCACCCTGGGGCTTGGTCATTTTGACTTCAGGATGGGGTCTACGTGACCCTGGTTCTCCCATCCAGAGGGTCACAATCAGTGCTCCCTGATGGGCAGGCCTAGAGCTGCAGAGGCCCGTCCCCGGCCAGTTTCCTCTTGCGCAGGCCTCCCGCCATTGGCTCCCAGGTCTACGATGGGCTCAGCGCCTCTGTAGCACTGCAGTTAGAGAGCCAAGTAGTCAGACACAGACACTGCAGGCAGCTAAAACCTCTAGGACAGTGGTCGGCTCTCAAGCTGCGGTTTGCTGCTCTGTGGACTAATGAGTTTGCAGACCACTGGTCTAGGATATTTTAAAAATATAAACTACTTTAGGTCAGGCTTCTTTCTTCCTGTGAGTGAATATTATTTAACTTAAAAGCAGAATTTGACAGATGATAGATAGATAGATAGATAGATACATTCACCAGGGCCAGGGATTGAGCATGCAACCTAGGTATGTGTCCTTGACCAGGAATTGAACCCAAGACCGTTCTGTGTGGGGGGCCGACTCTCTAACCCACATGTGTCAAACACAAGGCCCACGGGCCAAATCCGTCCCGCCAGGCCTTGCAATGTGGCCCGCACCGCGCTGTCATCACTGCACTCCGCTGCGTTTCCATCACAATGACAGTTTATGACTGTTCAGTAAACCATTCGGCCCGCGATTTAGGCTGGATTTTAGATTTTGGATCCTTCTCTGATTGAGTTCGACACCCCTACTCTAGACTCTTCCTGCCTGCAAGCTCTTGATGCAGTTCCACAAGTTCCTCTGTCCTCCTCAAATCTGGCTGCAAACCAGCGAGATCAGACACTGGATCAGAGTCGGCTCAATCCCTTAGACAAGACTCGGGTGTCCTCTCCTCTGATTCCCCCACCTGATGAGTCAGCTTCTTGTCTGGGACCCCTCTGTGCGTCTCACCTCCTGGCGGGGCGCCTTGAGGGCTGGGACAGTGTCTCACTCAGGCCTGTTTCCAGCACCTGGTACAGAAACAGAGACCTGGACCAGAGAGGCCCCACCTGAGGGACTGAGGAAGTCCTCCCTGACGACTGACATGGTGGCCGGGCTCCAGGAGGCCCAGGAATTGTCCGAGCAGCACAAGCTCAAATATGATGACTAGATTGCAGCTGAGCAAACAGGGGCACTCCTCTTTCTCCCGTGGACTTTCTGACCTTGCACGTAAAATGGAATTTCAAATTGAGAAACAAATACTGCCCAGCTGGCGGGGCTCAAGGGTCGAGGGTCGACCTATGAACCATGAGGTTATGGTTCAATTCCTGGTCAGGGTACATGCCCGGGTTGTGGGCTCCATCCCTAGTGGGAGGCTTGCAGGAGACAGCTGATCAATGATTCTCTCTCATCATTGATGTTTCTCTCCCTCCCTCTTCCTTTACCTCTGAAATTGATTAAAAAAAAATATACACACACACACACACACACACACACACACACACACTGAGTGGCCAGATTATTATGATCTCTGGACACATAATAATCTGGCCACCCAGTGTGTGTGTGTGTGTGTGTGTGTGTATAGGAGGCCCAGTGCATGCATTTATGCATGGGTGGGGTCTGGCCAGCCTGGCCAGGGGGAGGGGATATGGGCTGCTGGCCAGCCTGCCAGCTGGTCGAACTCCTGGTCGAGGAGACAATTTGCATATTAGACTTTGATTATACAGGATATACACTGAGTGGCCAGATTATTATGCATTCAAAGATCATAATAATCTAGCCACTCAGTGTATATTTTTAAAAAGAAACAAACATTCTCTGTAAATAGTTTTTACTAGTAAGTGCAAAAGGTCCAAACCCATCCTTCTGGACAAAAGTCACCAATTAGGAATGGCAGCAACCCTCCAGCCCTCTCCTTTTAGTGGAGTGGGGCAAAGAGAAAGGAAGTGACAGGCCAAGAGAAAGGAAGGGATTCGTTCAGGCCACCCAGGAAGCTCTCCATGTATCGCAGAGATGGTGCTCTCCTGCAGGACGGCACATCTGTTTGGGAAAGTCTGCTTCGTTATGACGTGGCACGGACCCAGGGGAGGGCCCATCTCTTTGCCAACCTGGGAGCCAAGCCGCCCCTCACTTGTCTCATGTTCACCCTGGTCAACGGGAGGAGCACCGAGTGACCGAAGCACCAGGCCTGACCGCAGTACTCGGTACACAGGTTGGGTCCCCAGGAGATGGACCCCTAGTTCCTCCGGAGCACGGGACTGACATTTTCCAGGCACTCACCCCGCCGTGGGAGCCTCGCAGAGAATCCCGCGGGAGATGGCGGGGCCGCTGGGCCACTGGGGCTCCTTGTGTGACCTTGCAGCTCAGCCTCACTCCTTAGGTCATGTCTGGAGGGCGGAACCCAAGCATTGGGTGTTGGGAAACCCGAGTCGAATGCTGCCTCAGCCTCGCTAACATGTTGCCACACCTGGAGAGAACAGACTGCCTTCTGGGGAAGCTACCCCTTGGCTGCTGCTTGTGGGCCGGGGGGGCGTGTCCTACCCAGTGACGGGGTAGAGGGCTCTGTGTGTCTTGGCCGAATGCAGAATTTGTCGTCAACAACAAAGTCAGAAACTTCACAAACTTTTCTTCCTACGGTCACGCTGGGAGAAATCCCAGGGAAACGCCACACGCCAGGCTTGGCAGTGATGACACGGGGGCCCAGGTTCAGAGATACCTTATCAGAGGTTGCCCCGAAGTCAGGAACTGAC